TCAAAAGAGGGGGTGCGGCGACACATTTTTTTTCATGTGTCGGTTTTTTTTTCACTTTAGGAAAGCAGAGAGGCTGCCTCGGCTGTCATTCACCGAATCCTGCCCTGTGATGACTGATTACTCGCTGGCACTCAGTGATCAAGGAGCATTACCGAGGGGGGGGGGGAGAGAACTGTAAATAAATAATGCAGTTCTCTCCCCTGTCAACTCCTGCACAGAGCCATGCAAAGCAGTGTGCTTACAGTGAACCACAGACAGCACACAGTAAAACAGCACACATGTTAACCTCTTCCTGCTCAATGCCATTAGTACAGTCTCAGTGCTTTTTATTGGCACGGATCACTGTATTGGTGTCACTGGGGATGCAAGTAACACCAAGTCAGTTCCCCCCAGTGTCAGAATGCCCGCCGCAGTCCCACCATAAGTCGCTGATCACCACCACCATTGCTAGTAAAAATAATAAAAAAAACAAATCCTAGTATATATCCTGCCATTTGTAAACGCTGTAACTTTCACTTAAACCAATTAATTTACATGTATTGGGAATTTTTTTTAGCAAAGACATGTAGCAGAATATATTGTGGCCTAAATTTATGATGAAATTTTATTTTTTTTATTTTTTACATGTTTTAATAGCAAAAAGTCAAAAAATATATTTTTTTTTTCTCAAAGTTGTTGGTCTTTTTTTTTTTTTTTTTTTTATAGTGCAAAAAATAAAAAATGCACAGGCCATCAAATACCACGGAAAGGAAGCTCCATTTGTGGGAATAAAATGACGTAAATTTCATTTTGGGTGCAGCGTTGAATGACCACGCAATTGTCAGTTAAAGTAACGCAGCAACGTAACGCAAAAAATGGCCTGGTCAGGAAAGGGGGTAAATCCTCTGGAGGGCAAGTGGTTAATACCTTTTATAGATTGACAATTTCCTTTAAAATAATCAGTAACAAACCTCAGCTTTGAAGATAGCAAGGATACCATTAATCTTTCATCATCATTTAGGCTATTTTTTATATATGGTTGCTCATGCTTTATGATATTAGAAGCTTCTTGTTTTGGTATTCTTCCTTCCAGTTTAGAAGCCATTAGGTGTTTCTTAATTAAAAACAAGCAATACTGCTATTTTCTTCCTGTACCTGTCAACATGTCTTTAATACAGTACAGTATTTTGAAAGAATTTAATTACTCTTCGTGAAACTGGCAGCAGGAATTTACGACAAAGAAATTCTATAACACTACACATTGTTTTCTTATACAAGGTATTGTATGTGTGCTTTTTCTTTCTGTTAATTGAGGAGTACAATTAGGAGATCAACTCTAAAATTGGTATTAGTGACATAAACACAGCATGATACCTATAAAACATCTTATATCCATGACACTATACAACAAATTCTTACTAAATATTTAGTCTTCTTGTAGGGTTCACTTATTTCATAAAATGCTAATTTTGGATTTTTAAATGCCCAGATTAAATTCATACTGTGAGGCTAAAATTATTAATCCCAGACATTTAGGGGTTTATTTACTAAAGCTGCAGAGTCCAAAATCAGACTCCCTTCTGCATAGAAACCAATCCGCTTCTAACCTCAGCTTGTTCAATGAAGCTTTGGCAATGAAACCTGGAAGCTGATTGGTTTCTATGCAGAAGGGAGTCTGATTTTGGACTCTCCAGCTTTAGTAAATAAACCCCTTAACGTCTGGTGTCCAGGCAAAGAGCAGTTGCAAGAACAGTTAGCTTCTGCACTGTTCCTGTACAATATATTATTGATTTCTGCACCAATGATTTCTTAGGTCTCTGTATCAATATATACACAACCAGTCAAAAGTTAAGAATAACCCAATTTTCCTAGTTTTTATTGAAATTTATGCTTTTTTTGTCTCAACATACTATGAAACTAAAGCACAGAACAAATAAACAATAGAAAAAGCTGATCTCCAGCATTTAGTGAAGCTTAAATATTTTTTGGGACCAAACTGGTCCAAACAAACTGTTTATTGCACTAAGACATGCAGTGGCTCTCAGCTAAATGCAGTATACAGCTAAATACAGTATATAGCTAAATACAGTATACAGCTAAATACAGTATACAGTGCTGTGTTTCAGTAGTGAAATGGGAACTTTCCTTCCCCACTCCCGAAACAGCGCTCAGTCTTTCACAGGAAGCTTTGGATTCTACAAATGAATACAAAGCTTCCTCTGCGTGGCTGAGTTGATGGACCTTATAGTTAGAAATAAGGTCAAACCTGCTTTTTTTCCTTCACATGGGAATCAACACAGGCACCAGAACTGGCTTGTAACTCTTTAGGCATATTGCTTAAAGATGTCCGTATTTTCCCCATGACCTTCCTGTGTCCTTTAATGTAAAATAAAGAAAGCAGGATTTTTGTCTTCCTTTTAAAATTGTATTTTCAGACTCTTTCAGAATGAAAATCAATATTGTTTGCAAAGCTCTTTCCAATACTATGGAATACTAAAAGTTTGAACAATATGTTGCCCTTGTAGGCTGCAATTTTTTTTATACCTTTTGTCCTGTTCATTCCAAACCAACATTAATGGGGTCTAGGTGTGGTTGCTGTGCAGTCCATGATTTGAGGTCTACTGTCTTGTTTTCTTCAAAGATAATATTGACATGGCCAGGAGGTATGTGTTCAGATTTAACAAAAACCTGAAGTGGAACTCCAGCCTCTCTTGTTTCTGTCCCATTTTTTCACCTCTGGTGCTTTGTGTGAAACTGTGCTGCTCTTTAATATTCTCCATTGTATGCATCTGAATATTCATTGAAGGGTATTGCAGCAGGCACACTTTCTGTCTTGTGATTCCCATCCTCTCACAAGACATACTAAGTGTCATTGATATGCCCCAGAGCTACAGAGGGTATCCGTCACTGTTGCTGTTTCCTGTGAACACAGTTCCTCTACAGCCAGATTAATCTGGATTGGAAAGAGCCCGTCTCCTCTGTTTGCATTCTGAATCCTTGGACTCGTGGATTTTTGCAGCCTTTTTTAAGTTGCTTAGAGTAGGGTCTGTGCTGTGTGATCTGGACTGAAAACACAGGTAACAGCATTCTTGCTTCATCTAAATGGGGAAGCGTTATTTCCAGGCATCTCCCCACACCCTGTACAATATGTAGTTGCCTTGATCTGTGTGAATGCAGTGTTGTTTCCCAGTACACTATGTGTGCAGTGTTTCTTATTGTATTACCTAATAATGTGTACTGTGTTATCCACTCATACAGAAGCAGGGAGTATGTATGGAAGGGGTATCTCACATTAGTATTTTATGCTGTGTAGTATAATCTGGACTGCAAACGCACAGCTTCTGCTTTACAGGTCACGTTAGACAAATCTGTGTAGTAACTTGGCATGATATCATCAATTCAACTTTAGACCTCATACAAATTGTCCATGAGAGGCTGAAAATATGTGGGGTGGCAAATTCCAGCTCTTCATCTTCTACACTCAGGGAGCCACTGGTGTCACGTGCAACCTGCCATACAAGTGATTGGCTATACACAGATGGGCTCTTCTAAATACCAATGCCTCCTTGCATCAGTATTTACCCACACATGTGCTACATGTTTCTTGAACGCAAAACTTCCGTATTTGGAAAATACATCATACACACATATACAGGTAAATACCGCTGCAGAGAAGTATCATTTTTATAAGTATTTAGCCACATACAGCTATTCACTTGTATGGCATGCTGTACAAGGCACCTGCAGCGTCCTGGGCTTGGGAAAATGCATGAAATTTTACCCCAGCATATTTTCAGCATCTTGCAGTCCATGTGCATGAGGCCTTAAAGGTATTAAATTTTTTTTTTTTTACACACTGCCTTCCTTCACCCTATTGACTCTGGAAGCCACGGCACAAGCTATTTACAAGCTACAGTATATACTTAATCTAACTTGAGTAATCAGCAGCTAATTTAAAGACTGTCCTCTTCAAGGATTTTTGGATGAGTGGGGAAGGATTTTTTTTTTGCTCTTAGTACCATTGCAGTGACCAGTGTGCACCTTTCCTATTTTGGTGTTTTTTGGGGATTAAAAGAATAAAGGAAAATCTACTACTGGTACTTATTTCTCATTCCATTTAACTTAAAAAATTCTGCCATATCTGAGGCTTTATTCAAATGGTGTTATCATGAGGTTGAAGGAAAAAAAGAGACAGAAACAAACTCCATATTCAATATAGCAAGTCTCTGCAGTATTTGTATTCAGACTTCCTTAGTATGCTGCTCTTCATCTACTTTTTAATTCCAAGAACACATTTTAAAATAAAAAGAAATTTCAGCGCCCTTTTTGTGGTAAACTCATTTGTGTTTGAAAAACAGATTTAGAGTTCATTTTGACTTGAGATGTGAGGTGCCAAGGAAATGTTTTTTTTTTTTTTTTTTGGCAAGAGGTATGTAAGTACAGCAGCTGTAAATACTGGGCAACTTGCCTTCTCAAGTACTGTATAGACCAGCAAACGGTACCCTATATGTTTTTGCCATTAGAGGTTTACATTAAAGGAGACTGACAGTCACTGGCTCTCTGCTCACGGAAAATCTGAGAACCGAGTGATCAGTAGTCTTTATCACCCAGTTCTCAGTCCTAGAGACGGAGGGGGACAGGTGCAGCATTGGAGTGATGCTGCACCCACCCAGGTGAGTATGACTATTTTTTTCTATCTATATATATATATATATATATATATATATATATATATATATATATATCCACCCCACAGTTCTCTTTCAAGAAACTGAGATGATTTAAATGATATTTTCAAACATCAGTATATGTGTTATCCCTCAAATAAGGTTCTGTTAACGATATATTTCACTGATGCCTGGAGTTGTTGCAGTGCTTGCTGGTAAACTTCACAGTGCCTTTATCATTTGAGAGCTACTTGTATTTCATATTTATTAGCAAAATGAATAAACCTTAACGACCACCTTTGTTTTACTAATACGTAGCTATGGTAAAATTTCCCACCGTCTGTTCTTTCCTAGACTGTTAAATGTGTGTGGCTTGGAACTTGTGCGCTTGGAGTTGGCCTGTGGCCACTTTTTAAATGAAGCATGCCTGGAAGTCATTGCAGAGATGTGTCCAAATCTTCAGGAATTAAATCTCTCCTCTTGTGATAAGCTGCCACCTCAGGCTTTCAGCCATATCTCCAAACTCTGTGGATTAAAACGCCTTGTTCTCTACCGGACAAAAATAGAGGTAAAGACGGTCTGTTAATTTTAACTAGTTGAAAGCATTTATCACATTATGTTTGTGTAGAGCAACAGAAAAATGTCTTTGGAAAAACGTTCAGCCTTTGACATAAGCAGTCTTTTTTAATTAAAATTTATTTAGCAACTGGCAAACCTTTGTGTTTTAAATTATATGATGCCATTAGTTGAATTGTACTCTTTGCAGTCTTGTATTGAGCTTCAGGACTTTTTTTTTTCTCTTTCAAAATGCCATGAAGACAATGCATCTTTCTTATCATGCTAGATATCTATACTGTTATGGACTGAGTAATGTGTTGTTAGGAACGTAAGGATGCCCCATCGTTTGATGGAAATGAAAATTATCAACCTACAGAGGACTAAGTTCAAAGCCACCCCGAAAATCAAAGTGAAAAAAATTATGCAGTAGGATAGTCGATCTTGCTGAAATTTCATTGCAGCAACTCAAAATGGTACTCATTAGTTTGTATGGCCCCCATGTGCATGTATGCATGCCGGACAACGTCCAGGCATGCTCCTAAAGAGATGATGGATGGTGTCCTGGGGTATTTCCTCCCATATCTGAACCAGGGCATCACTGAACTCCTGGACAGTCTGAGGTGCAACCTGGCGGTGTTGGATGTACTGAAACATGATATCCCAGAGGTGTTCTATTGGAATTAGGTCAGGCGAACATGGGGGCCATTCAATGGTATCAATTCCTTCATCCTCCAGGAACCGAAGACCCACTGCACCAGCGTAGGGTCTGATGATGAGTCCAAGGATTTAACCCCCAATAGCTAATGGCAGTCAGGGTGCCATTGTCTAGCCTGTAGAGGTCTGTGTGTCCCTCCATGGATCTACCTCCCAGACCATCACTGACCCACCAACAAAACCATCATGCTGAACGATGTTACAGGCAGCATAACATTCTCCATGGCTTCTCCAGACCCTTTAACGTCTGTCACGTGCTTAGAGTGAACCTGCTCTCATCTGTGAAAAGCACAGGGTGCCAGTGGCGGACCTGCCAATTCTGGTGTTCAATGGCAAATGCCAATCGAGCTCTGTGGTGCTGGGCAGTGAGCATAGGGCCCTCTAGAGGACATCAGGCCCTCAGACCACCCTCATGAAGTCTTTTTCTGATTGGTCAGAGACATTTACACCAGTGGCCTGCTGAAGGTCATTTTGTAGGGCTCTGGCAGTGCTCGTCCTGTTCCTCCTTGCACAAAGAAGCAGATACCGGTCCTGCTGATGGGTTAAGGACCTTCTACGGCGCTGTCCAGCTCTCCTAGAGTAACTGCCTGTCTCCTGGAATCTCCTCCATGCTCTTGATACTGTTCTGGGAGACACAGCAAACCTTCTGGCATTGGCACGTATTGATGTGCCATCCTGGTGGAATTGGACTGCCTGTGCAACCTCTGTAGGATACAGGTATCACCTCATGCTATCAGTACTGACCACTGACCCTAGCCAAATGCAAAACTAGTGAAAAACAGTCAGAAAAGATGAGTAGGGAAAAATGTCAGTAGCCTCACCTGTAAAACCATTCCTGTTTTGGGGGTCGTCCCATTGTTGTCCATCTAGTGCACCTGATATTCATTTCATTAATACTAAAGCAGCTGAAATTGATTAACAACCCCCTCTGCTACTTAACTGACCAGATCAATATCCCAGGAGTTTACTTGACTTGATGCTATACTCTGATTAAAAAGTGTTCCTTTAATTTTTGAGCTGTGTGCGTTTGTGTGTATATGTATACACACACACTATATTGCCAAAAGTATTGGGACGTCTGCCTTTACACGCACATGAACTTTAATGGCATCCCAGTCTTACTCCGTAGGGTTTAATGTTGAGTTGGCCCACCCTTTGCAGCTATAACAGCTTCAACTCTTCTGAGAAGGCTGTCCACAAGGTTTAGGAGTGTGTCTATGGGAATGTTTGACCATTCTTCCAGAAGTGCATTTGTGAGGTCAGGCACTGATGTCGGATGAGAAGGCCTGGCTCGCATTCTCCGCTCTTATTCATCCCAAAGGTGTTTTATCGGGTTGAGGTCAGGACTCTGTGCAGGCCAGTTAAGTTCCTCCACCCCAAAATCACGCATCCATGTCTTTATGGATCTTGCTTTGTATACTGGTGCGCAGTCACGTTGGAACAGGAAGAGGCCATCCCCAAACTGTTCCCCAAAGTTGGGAGCATGAAATTGTCCTAAATTTCTTGGTATGGTGACGCCTTAAGATTTCCCTTCACTGGAACTATGGGGCCAAGCCCAACCCCTGAAAAACAACCCCACACCATAATCCCCCCCACCCTCCACCAAACTTTACATTTGGCACAATGGAGTCAGGCAAGTACTATTCTCCTGACAACCGCCAAACCCAGACACGTTCATTGGATTGCCAGACAGAAGCGTGATTCGTCACCCCAGAGAACATGTCTCCACTGTTCTAGAGTCCAGTGGCGGCATGCTTTACACCACTGCATCCAATGCTTTGCATTGCACTTGGTGATGTAAAGCTTGGTTGCAGCTGCTCAGCCATGGAAACCCATTCCATGAAGCTCTATTCTCACTGTTGTTGTGCTAATCTGAAGGCCACATGAAGTTTGGAGGTCTTTTAGCTATTCACTCTGCAGATAGTTGGCTACTTCTGTGCACTTCAGCATGCGCTAACTCTGCTCTGTCATTTTACATGGCCTGTTGTTCCCAGTTGCTTCCATTTTGTTATAATACCACTAACAGTTGACTGTGAAATATTCAGTAGCAAGGAAATTTCACGGATTGACTTATTGCACAGGTACCACGCTTGAATTCACTGAGCTCCTGAGAGGGACTCATTCTTTCACAAATGTTTGTGAAAGTGCCTTGAAAAGGTACTCGTACTCATACCCCTTGTAATTTTCCAGCTTTGCACAACTAGAGAGTGAAAACCATTTATCATTTTCCTTCCACTTCACAATTGAATGTGCCACTTTGTGTTGGTCTATGATAATATCCCAATAAAATACATTTTACGTTTTTGGTTGTAACACGACAAAATTTGGAAAATTTCAAGGGGTATGAATTCTTGTTCAAGGCACTGTATACATACATGCATGTGTGTTGTGTGTTTTTTTTTTTTTAAGAAATACTTCTCATTTACCACTGTCACCATGAGTAAAGACGCTGATATAATGTCTTGTACCTGATGTCATGACACTTTGCTATACTGCTGTGCTTTCATGTAATGCAGTGGTGTCACTTTACAAAACTGTGATCTGCCTCCTTATGCAGCTACAGTCCGTGAAGAATGGAAAAATAGTTTACACAGATGAAAGCAGGGTAGAATGGTAAGAGTAGGATTTTCATAGATATGTTTTTTTTGATGAACACCTATTTAAAAGAATCTGGGTTTGTTAACATACAGTGGGGATCAAAAGTTTGGGCACCCCAGCTAAAAATTTGTATTAATGTGCATAAAGAAGCCAAAGAAAGATGGAAAAATCTCCAAAAGGCATCAAATTACAGATTAGACATTCTTATAATATGTCAACAAAAGTTAGATTGTATTTCCATCATTTACACTTTCAAAATAACAGAAAACAAAAAAATGGCCTCTGCAAAGGTTTGGGCACCCTGCAGAGTTAATATCTTGTACTGCCCCCTTTGGCAAGTATCACAGCTTGTAAACGCTTTTTGTAGCCAGCCAAGAGTCTTTCAATTCTTGTTTGAGGTATCTTTGCCCATTCTTCCTTACAAAAGTCTTCCAGTTCTTTGAGATTTCTGGGCTGTCTGTCACGCACTGCTCTTTTAAGGTCTATCCATAGATTTTCAATTATGTTGAGAACAGGAGATTGTGAAGGCCATGGCAAAACCTTCAGTTTACGCCTCTTGATGTAATCCCTCGTGGATTTCGAGGTGTGTTTAGGATCATTATCCATTTGTAGAAGCCATCCTCTCTTTAACTTCAGCTTTTTCGCAGATGGCATCAAGTTACCATCCAAAATTTGCTGAAATTTTATTGAATCCATTTTTCCTTCTACTCGTGAGATGTTCCCTGTGCCACTGGCTGCAACACAACCCCAAAGCATGATTGATCCAACCCCATGCTTAACAGTTGGACAGAGGTTCTTTTCATTAAATTCTGTGCCCCTTCTTCTCCAAACGTACCTTTGCCCATTCTGGCCAAAAAGTTCAATTTTAACCTCATCGGTCCACAGAACTTGTTTCCAAAATGCAGCAGGCTTGTCTATATGTTCATTTGCAAAGTTCAAACGATGATTTTTGTGGTGAGGACATAGAAGAGGTTTTCTTCTGATGACTCTTCCATGAAGACCATATTTGTACAAGTATCTCTTTATAGTGGAATAGTGTACCACAACTCCAGTGTCTGTCAGATCTTTCTGGAGGGATCGTGCAGTCAAACGTGGGTTTTGAATTGTTTTTCTCACAATCCTGCGAGCTGTTCTGTCTGATATTTTTCTTGGTCTTCCAGATCTTGCTTTAACTTCCACTGTTCCTGATGACTGCCATTTCTTAATTACATTCCGAACATAGGATATTGACATCTGAAAACGCTTTGCTATCTTCTTATAGCCTTCTCCAGCTTTGTGAGCGTCAACTATTTTCAGTTTCAGTTTTCTAGACAACTGCTTAGAAGAACCCATGGTGCTGATTGTTGGGGCAAGGTCAGATGAGTCTGGGCATTTAAAACCTTTGAGATTGACATCACCTTGTCTTCCCAGACGATGATTGAGAACAATCCATGACACTGGCAGGTCTCAGCTTGGCAAAGGGGGCAGTGCATGCTATAAATTCTGCAGGGTGCCCAAACTTTTGCAGACGCCATTTTTTTGTTTTTTGTTATTTTGAAAGTGTAAATGATGGAAATAAAATCTAACTTTTGTTGACATATTATAAGAATGTCTAATCTGTAATTTGATGCCTTTTGGAGATTTTTTCATCTTATCTTGGCTTCTTTGTGCACATTAATACAAATTTTTAGCTGGGGTGCCCAAACTTTCGATCTCCAC